AGTCTTTTAAGTGCAGGTGTGCAGTGATGGTGAAGGGGTGTGTGACCAGTCTGTGGTGGATGTTGGAGAGGGTCTAGATCAGTCAAGGTGGATGTGAGAGAGGGTTTAGATCAGTCCAGGTGGATGTTGGACAGGGTCCAGACAGTCCAGGTGGATGTCGGAGTGGGTTCAGATTAGTCCAGGTGGATGTTGGAGAGGGTCCAGATAGTCCAGGTGGATGTTGGAGAGAGTCCAGATTAGTCCAGGTAGATGTTGAAGAGAATCTAGATTAGTCCAGGGGGATGTTGGAGAAGGTCTAGATTAGTCCAATTGGTTGTTGGAAAGGCTCTAGATTAGTCCAAGTGGATGTTGGAGAGGGTCCAGATAGTGCAGGTGGATGTCAGAGATGGTCTAGATTAGTCCAGTTGAATGTTGTAGAGGGTCTAGATTAGTTCAGGTAGATGTTGGAGAGGGTCTAGATTAGACTGGTCACACACCCCTTCACCATCACTGCACACCTGCACTTTAAATTCTTTTCTATTTAAAGGTGCTATGAGACTCTTTCTGTACAGTTTACAGTGACAGTATTTGCACTGGTTCCTTTTTCACTAATATGCTGCTTAGTACCAATACATGCATATATATGCACATGTATGTGCATACATTTGAAGCACATTCATACATATGGCTTTGCTGTCCTGTCTAGTACTGTCTTCTATATTTATTGTTCTGTATATTTATTGTCTGGTGTAGTATATCGCTGTTGTGCATTTGTGGCCTGATGAACAACATCCCGTTCCAATGTCTACAAGTTATTGTAAGGAATGACAAAGACCACTTGACTGTCAAATTATGTGGAAAAAAATGAGAAAATGAAAAATGACAAAAATGGAGATTTTTTTTGCCAACTATGATATGGAAACTAAGCTGCAAAAATACCTTGTGTGATAAATGACTAATGACTGTTTTTTGTCACATAAAACAGCATAAATATCACAAATGCAAGAAAAAAGTAGGATATAGACCCTTTAAGGGCTCCAAGTGTAGGTATTAGCCACAGCTTTGTTATATATCACTGAGAGGTGGCAGGTGCCTTTGGGCCGACTTTGAGAAGAAGTTCACTAATCTCATGGAGTGTGTTCATGCGGGAGTTACTAATGCAACTGTGTGTGTGTGTGTGTGTGTGTGTGTGTGTGTGGCAGGCAGCCAGCAAGCGATGTTAAAAAAACCATTTGTGTGTGAACAGCCAGCCTGGGACTGCTGGTCTACTGGGCTGTAGCGAACGAGTGAGAGAACAAGGCATTAAGGGTCTCTCTTTCTTTTTCATCCCCACTTCCAACTGACCTCTCCAGGCTCTGCCCACAAAAGTGTTCTGGTAAGTTTTACTAAACACTGGTAAAATTCCATTAAATCTAATGAGAAACAGTTTATATCACAATACCTACATTTAGAGCCAGTTATTCATTCAACCTAATGAGAATCAGTGGAACGCACCTCAGTTCATAACTTCAATTCATGGCTAGAATGACCATGTTTATCACACAAACATTACAGAACATTACAGTGAACTTTTTACCCAACAATAAAACCCAAGTCATCAGTTTTTTATACTGAAATATTGTCAATTTTGTGGACTGATCACTGCAGCACTGCAGCCAGTGTCTATAACCCAGCCTGGCCCTCTAGACCACAGCTTTAGACAGTGAACTGAAGAATAAAAGGTTCTGCTCTGCCTCCCGTTTCACCCGACAGCATTTTCACCAGTTATCGTATATTAGAATATGCAGCAGTGTTCAACCGTACCGCTTGGCCCTTTCATCTGACACAACTATCAGCAATGTCAAAACAATGCAAGCGGAACTGACGCAGTTCTTATCATCAGCCCGCTGCTCCAAGGGCTGTCCAGCGGAGAGGCCCGTGGCCAGCGCGAGCAGAGCAAGGGTCATTTATAACCGTGGACTGGATGAGAGCGAGCAGGCAGCGGGGCGTCATCCATCTGAACATCAGATGACATCTCTCCGATTCCCATTACGATAAGACAGAATTCATCAGTTAGTTGAGCCAGGACGAGAGGGGAAAAAACCCACCTCCAGATGTCCTGAGTTCTGAGAACTGCTCAGATTTGGTTAGTTCACCCATTACTGTAGCTTGACAAAGGTCTGTCTGAACTGGACTGTAGCATTTAAAATTCTGTTTGAACCCATCCGTAGCCCACAAATTTCTGTCCCCACCTGACTGTAGCCAACAAAATTCTGTCCGAACCCGACTGTAGCCGACAAAATTCTGTCCGAACACGACCGTAGCCCACAAAATTCGGTCCGAACCCGACCGTAGCCCATAAAATTCGGTCCGAACCCGACCGTAGCCCATAAAATTCTGTCTGAACCCGACCGTAGCCCATAAAATTCTGTCCGAACCCGACCATAGCGCACAAAATTCTGTCTGTACCCGACTGTAGCCTCACAAAATTCAGCCTGAACCCGACTGTAGCCAAAATTCTGTCTGAATCCGAATGTAACCCCACAAAATTTTGTGTGAGCCTGACTGTAGCCCCACAAAACTGTGTTAACCCGACTGTAGCCCATAAAATTCTATCTGAACCCGACTGTAGACCACAAAATTTGCTCTGGACCCGACTGTAGCCACAAAATTCCATCTGAACTTTATTATACTATAATTTGTGGGCTTTATTTACTATATTGTGGGCTGCAGTCAGTTCAGACGGAATTTTGTGGGCTACAGTCAGGTTCAGACGGAATTTTGTGACCCAACAGTCGGGCCACAAAATTCTGTCTGAACCCAACTGTAGCCCACAAACCTCCGTCTGAACCTGACTGTAGCCCACAAAATTCCGTCTGAACTGACTGCAGCCCACAATATTCCGCCTGAACCCAACTGTACACCCACAAAATTCTGTCTGAACCCGACTGTAGCCCACAAAATTCTGTTCAAACCCAACTGTAGCCAACAAAATTCTGTCTGAACCCGACTGTAGCCAACAAAATTCTGTCTGAACCCGACTGTAGCCCACAAAATTCTGTCTGAACCCAAATGTAGGGTGACAAAATTCATCTGTGTGACTCTTATTGATTCTTAATGCATCAATCCTTTTAATGGAACACAAATATAGATAATTGCTCATATATGTGTTAAAATAATGTGTCAGATGACTGAGTTTAATTCTAGAGCAGCAGGAGTCAGGGGAACGTGTTGAGTGTCATCTTGTGATACTGCATTGGAATAACACAAGATAAAATACAATACTGACTTTCAATCTCGGTCCATTTCACAAATGAAGACTTATTAACCCAAAAAGCACTAAAAAAGCATTTTTGTTCAAAATTGAGATCACATTCCTACTTCAGGAGGACATTTCATGCTGCTCAGGCTGATTTCATGTTTCATGTCAACACCTTCCCGATATCAGATACATCAACAAGTTCACATCAGACACAAACAGACTGAGTTTATGAAGACTGAATAAAGGGCTGTTCAATCACACTTCTCCCACTCCATCACTGACAGATAACCCATCTACCTCTGCCGTCACTCTACAGACAGATAAGACACGCCTATCACTCACAATCACACATGCCCACATCCAAGTCTATGTTACCATTTTTGTGTTAAAAAAAGAAAAAAGCATATATGCACACATACATACATTAAAGTAATATATAAATATATCCAATCAATATATCAAATACAGCACTAGTCAAAATTTTGGATGTGATTAAACATACATTCTTCATATTCTTAGTCATTTTGCTCTAAAGGTTTATGCCTGATTTTGTTTTTAAGATAGACATAGACAGTGAGGTTGATGCCTAGGCATGAATTTGCTGTCAAAACCAAACTTATGCAAATGTTATTGTTTTGTTATTTTATGTAATAATTTAATTTGAAATTTTCAACAGCTGATAAGCCAAGCACAAGAGCTTCTTTAGACCTGCTGAAAAAACATCCCTGCATAAAGCATGATGTGTAAAGCTTAATTCCCTGGAATTAAACTGGAAATGTTGCACTAACAATTTTTTTAGGTTTACTTTATTTGTTAAAATTACCAATACAAATCTAGTAATGTACTATTTCTTGTCTAATTATTTGTTACTACAGACTGAAGAGTCTTTTGCCCAAAAAGCTCCCCAGCATTATTAGCAGTTTTGTTGGGTTCTCTTTTTTTCTAATTTAGAAATATAATTGACACGTTGCAAAGTGCTATTTTTCTGTCAGAGCATACTCTCATGTTAAATATGAAGTTCTCCTTTTACATGTTTTTTTTTATTCTCACCATGATGGTGTTTTGTGAACAGAATAGTGAACATGCATTAAACTCAGTCTCAGAACTGGCCAATTCTTGTCTTATCTAAGCTGTTTATTCATTGCTGTACAAAACAGGCCATTTAATATAATAGAGTTGTTTTAACTGATGCTGATACATTACACAAGGATGAATATTAGACTCATTAACCTATTAGACTAAGTTAACCTGAATAATTCAGGAGTGAACAGGACTTAAAGAGCAGAGCACGGTCAGCTCAATGGACACTGTTTATAATGACTGGGCTGTTTGAGTTATCTTACTCACTATAAAGTGTGAAAAACTAAAAAAAATAGAGAGCAACTATAGCTCAAATATAAAGTTATTTAAGCTTGAACCTGTTAAGGAACTTTACTTTTCGAGGCAATAAGTTTGCATGATTTTTTTTTAACGTTAACTAAATTTACAGTGTTAAGGCAAAGAGGAGCTATTTTGTAGAGTCTAAAAAAGTTTGGATTTGTTTTAATCCAATAAGTCACTATATCATTCCATATGTGTAACTTTATAGTTTTGATATCTTCACTACTAAAGTAAAATAAGGAAAGTTGACCAAAACGTTTGGTCAATTGACACTACATGCTCTAATGTAGGTACCAGTGAATTAAAGTGATTTTGGACCAGGCAGCACAGACTGATATACACATTGTTCCTTCATTATCTCGTGTTATGGGTGAAGTTTCCTTTTAAAGGTGGGACAGACCTGATTGGACAGGAATGGGATTCTCAAGCAGGAATACAGTCTGCTTCCAGTGGGTTTTGGTGCAGTGTGGAGAAGTGGAGAACATCACCTGCAATTGAAAACATTACTGCAGTCAGAATCATCCACCTGTATGGAACCAAATTACATGTAACCTCAAAATGAATGAAGTCAGTGGATGTAAATGAAGATTTAATGAAAAGTTATAGTTTGGTGAAAGAACACAACAAAACTACGTTCATAAAGCATCGATGAATCGTTTTAAATTAGTTTATTATCAATTAAATAAACCAAAACTCCCCCTGGTACAGCCGAAACCCCTCCCAGTAAAAACAGAACTCCTCCCAGTAAAACCAAAACACCTCCTAGTACAACCAAAACCCCTCCCACTACAACTGAAACTCCTTCTAGTACAACCAAAACCCCTCCCACTACAACCAAAACTCCTCCTATTACAACCGAAACTCCTCCCAACACAACCAAACCTGCTCCCAGTACCACCGAAAACCCTCCTAGTACAACCAAAACTTCTCCCCATGCAGTGCATCACTGGGATCCGTGTCTGTGAGAAAGATAATCATGGAGGACACACGTCGTTGGGGATCCGGATGAAACGAAAGGCTTAATAGTAATGTAGACAGAAATTCCTGCGCAAAACACACTGTAGACGAAGAGGCTGAACGGATAAACAGTTGATAATTGGTTGCCGCATAACGAGCTGATTTTCATATTCCGTCCCACACAGCAATCGGATTTCAGTCCAACTAACCAGAGACGAATTTGACTACCAAGTGTAAATGCATGTGGCTAAAATCTTATCAGGACACAGTCCAGATACTACATAAAATGACCAGGTGTAAACGAGGTTATAGACCTCTAAACTGATCAGTTCCTCCAGGTTTGCTAGCCGCCTTCACCTTCCAGCCACAACTGAACCACAGCACAACACTCATCTTATAGATTTGATAGTGTTTGCTTATTCTGTGCATATGCTGCAAATGAGATGTTCGTAACTGCTGTGAATAACGGATCATGATATGGTTTGCAGAATCGAATCCTGAGATTTCAAGGTTTCTAACAGTTTATTGTGTTACCGTATAGCTGGGCAATTTGATGTATAAAAACAATGTATAAAAAAAAGGAACCATATATGACCATGTGGTACCAATATAGCGATCTAGAAAATAGCTGATCTCGAACTTCCAATTCCTTGTTCTAAAAAGTTCCTCAGCAGAGGACTACCTCGACATTTTTTTGATTTCCTTCTGAAATATTCCATATCATGAACGGTCTCCTCAAGGGAAGTGATAAAAATGGCAATCACATTCACAAACCCATTATCAAAGTTAGCAGAGTATGGCAGAAAACAGAAAGTGCTGCAAATGCTCTCTCTTTATTCGCCTGTCTGTCTTTCTCTCTCTCTCTCTCTCTCTCTCTGTGTCTCCTTTACTCAAATGCAGCCGTTTTCATTCCTGTTCCGTCTGGCCGCCGGAGGAAGGCTCATGCTGATGTCAGCAGAGCATGCGACTGCCCCAGGCATAAAGTGTGTAAAAGCGTGAATGTAAGTGGTTGGTTGTTAAAGCGCACGGTGCTGAAACTCACCTTGTTCGTGCAGCCTCTGTTGAAGAAAATGTCAAAATAGCCCACCACAGCCTGGAATGAAATATGAGAGAGACGTTAAAACATGACACAAGTGCAAAACGTTTGGGCTTGGTCAGAGCTGCCGGGGCAGTAATTAGCAAAAGTAAGGGAAAAAACAGCCTAATGTGCAAGAAAAACTGAAGAACATACCAACACACAAACACACACACACACACACACAAACACACACACACACAGTACACTGCTTAGAGCCTGCTTAACAAACACTTCCTCAAAAACCCTGTAAAACCTTTGTGAAAGGCAAAGCACCTTTGCTTATGTCTATATATACACACACAAAAATAATTTAATAAATACATGCCATATATCAAATTATTCAACAATACCTCTTCTAAGCGAAACAATTTCCAGTGCATAGATAAACAATTCATTTTAGCTCCTTTTGCCTCCAAAAGTCTAAAAATGTCTGGTGGTTCAACCGTCCAACTGTACATGTTGATTAAGTAAACTATCAAAAAAGGTAATTTAGTTATAAAATTCTAAATAAAATAATTTGTAATGATTTTATGTTTGAAAACTTTAAAATACAAACCAAGTTACAAAATAACAAGTTGAAAAGAGCTCAACTGGAAAAACTTGTCTACAAGTTCTTACTTCCTCAAATGACAGGCAGCACAATCAAAAACAAAGGACTTTTATTTTGACATGGTTTCAAGAAAGAGATAACTGTCCCTCTTTGAAGGATTATGATTCCCTAAATGTAACTGAAGCCCAGCAGTGAGGTTGCTAAACTTTACCCTCCTCTGCTATCACTGCAGACTGGCAGGGTCGCCTACAGAGCACCGCTAGTAGCCTGTTAATGAAGTAATGCTCTTTTTATTTGAGGGTTGTTCCATTTCGTAGGGAAGATTTCAACTACTACCCCTGTAACTCAGTTCCAAGGGACAAGGAGTCACTCAAAAACAAGGGGTAGGGGCAAAAATAAGAAATGGGATTGGGCCCAAGTCTGATATGAGGTGTTTTTTTTGGGCAGGCCCTGGATATGTACATAGTTTCATACTGAAATGTCTTGATGGGAAAGATAAACAAATCAAAACTTTCACAAAAAAAATACACATTTGTAAATAAACAGATAAATACATGTCACCGCTGTCAGCACAAAACCACGTACCTTTCATGATGAATGGACCAAAAAAAATGGAACAAAATTACTTAGAAAAAAGTCTGTCCATTGACTTACATTAAAAGTGAAGTATGTGTTTACCTTCTCCTGTGAAGTTATTATTTTGGAGATACGAAGTTTTCTTCAAACAGAAGCGATAAATATTATTATCATTATAACAAACAACAAAATTTAACAATTTAAATATACAAATAGATATACTTTTATTCCTACTCTCTCATACTTTAACTTGTATATTTTTTCTATTTCTGCCAAATTTATTGCCAGATTTATCTATTTTTATTTCTGCCTTAAATATGTAAGCTTATGTACAATTATTTGTCTATTTACAATTTAGTTACAATTACTACAATACTACTACTACTAATAATAATAATAATAATAATAATAATAATAGTCAGTTAGAAAGCAGAATTAGGCCAAACAGTGATGTTGCCGCCCCCCACTCTGTCCCCCTCGTCCCCCTGAGAGAGCGGAGCAACTCTATCACTCTGAGCCTCACTCGCTCGGCCAATGAAGCAGAACTAATAGCTTTTAATCCTGACACAGCTGACAACACGCGCACACACACACACACACACACACACACTCACAATCAATAGACAGAGGAAAAGAACCAGAGAGAGAGAGCAACAGAATTAAGAGAGACGGAAAGAAAAAGATTGAAAGATAAGAAAAATCAGAACAGTGTAAAGATACAAAGAAAAGCAAATACAAAAAAATACAGAAGGAATAAAAAAGAAGGAAAGAAAAACAAAAGCAGAAGAAGAGAAAAGTGGATAAAAGGCGAGAGATGAATGAGGGTAATGAGAGAGAGGGATTAAAGGCTTATACAGCTCAGAGAGAGAAATTCAGGGAAATAAATGGTGATTACACTTTGTTTTCACTTGCGCTTCCACAGAAAACTCTCAACGCTCATTTAAAACCTCCATGCATTAAACATTAACTCACCATACAAAACAATTACAGAGCGAAATTTCACTACTGTTGAGAAACTGGCTTTTAATTAGGCAATAAAAATGTGTTTTTATGATAGACGCACCATTTCCTGAGTTAAGGCAGACAAAATATTAAAAATATGTTCCACAAGTTAAAGCATATGTGGATATATAAATAAAATAAAGATTATACTAAATTAAATAAACAAGAAAATAAACCCAAACACACTCTTCAAAGTCAAACACATCAGCTCTGATGAAAACAGACAGCTGAGAGTGAAAATTCAGCGATGGTGAAAAATCATGTCAGCTGATGTAATTATGGTCTTTAATGAACGGCGCCAGACATTAAACACAGTAATAATTACAGAATTAGCCCTAATTACTCCTCAGGTTGTTTAAGAAGAGTGAAGTTCCACTCTGGAGCTGAGGATGAACTCCTCAGTCAGCGCTGACAAACAGCTTGTAAACAAGATTGATCAAGGCACTTAAATTAGCTTTTTTATAAAACAGATTCAGGTTGAGTTTTAGGAGACTATTGACACACCGAGCAACATCTGAGTCACGGAAGTGGACATAAAAGTGGTCAAAAATATGATCAGCAATACACCAGCAGTGCTGAAAAGAGTTTTTTATACCAACTTTACAGTCACGAACTTTAATAAAAATGTACTTTTTAACCCTTACAAGTGAAAAATATGCTGCAGTTTTATATGAATTATTTCACTGAAACAAGACGATACACTGGGTGGGAACATTATTGTCTGTATATATAACCTGAAAAAAGCTGGTTCTTCAAGGGTTCTTCAGTACAGACAATGCTTCTATATGACTATGAATACTCAAATAAGCCTTTGCATGCTTAATTGGTTCTCTGCATGGTGCTATTGTGATGTCAAGCTTGTATACAATAGAAAAACCCTTTTTGGTGCTATATAGAACCATCTACAGCACAATTTCCATCAAGCTGAAGAACAATTTTATGATGCAAACATCATATGATGCTAACACTTTAATAATGCAAAGAGTTCTTTGAGTGATCTTTTTTAAGAGTGTGTATAATAGAACTCTTTTTGGTGCTACATATAACGATGTTCAAAAAAGTTTTATATAGAACCCTATACAACACATTCTCCATCAATCTTTTCCTAAAGAACTATCTTAAATGGTTAGAACCAGATTAAATGGCTTAAATGGTTCTTTGCATGGTGAAATGGTTCTTCAGATTGATAAAGACTGTGTTCTACATAGCACCAAAAAAGGTTCTGCTACTGTAGCAATGGTAAGCTTATAACATTAGAAAAACCCTTTTTGGTGCTATATAGAACCCTTTTCAGAAACATTCAATATAGAACCATCTACTGCACCTTCGCCATCAATCTGAAGAACACTTTCATGATGCAAACAACAATTTAATAATGCAGAGTGTTCATTGAGTGTTCATGGATCTATAGAGAACCATTTTCTTTACTAAGGAACCCTTGAAGAACCATCTTTTTTAAAAATGTATATAATAGAAGAGCCCTTTTTGTTGCTACATAAAACCCTTTTCAAAAAGGTTCTTTATAGAATCATAAGCAGCACATTCTCCATCAATCTGAAGAACGCTTTTATGATGCAAAGAACCCTTTAATTATGCAAAGGGTTCTTTGAGTATTCATGGTTCTATATAGGACCATTTTTTTCTAAAGAACCCTTGAAGAACCATCTTTTTTAAGTGTGGATCCAGTAACTTTCAGGGTTTTAAGGGTTAAAAGCGTGCTGGGCTGAACTCCTGCAAGACACAGTGCCCCTTTTCAGGCTAAAGCATCCCAGGGGTCTTTAATGGGGGCTGCGTCCTCTCCCTCTCTCTCTCTCTCTCTCTCTCTCTCTCTCTCGTGCAGGAGAAGTGCACACACATACACATACACACGGAGCCCCCTGCAAACGTTCTCAAACAATTCATCACTGAATGAGTCCAGTGTGTAGAACCAAGTATTGTACCCACACATGAACACTCAGTGTGCTTAAATGGTTCTCTGCATGGTGAAATGGATCAGACTGACAGAGAACGTGCTGTACACTGTTAAAAAATAAGCTGATAATTTAATTTCGTTAATTAAATAAGTTAATTTATTATTATTATTATTTAATTAATTAAGGTAAAGTTTGAGCTTTCTTATTTTTTCAGTTTTGACTTGTTTTTCATTCCTTTGTTCTTCTTTGCCCTGTCTCTATTTTTAAGAGTTTATATTAATGGTAAAATCTTTTTCATTCTGTCTTCTCTTTCCATATTTAATAGATCTTGCGCCTTTTGCTGTTCCACTTTTTCATCTTTACATTTTTCTTTTTCTTTTCCTTTTTGTTTTCCTTTCTTCTCTCTTTCTCAAGCATACAGGCGTGTTAAAACTTACCTACAGTTAACCTGCTCTGCTGTAGTTTCCTTACTTACATTGCAAACGTTTGCACTGTACACTCTCAAAAAAAAAGGTACTAAACTGTCACTGGGGCAGTTCCCCTCTTGTCACTGGCGTGGAACCCTCAAGGGTACATCTCAGTACCTTTAGTCAGGGAAAATAACTGCACCATAACCCACTGAAATTATATTTTCTAAGCTGTACTGACTCCACACACCCCATCTCATCTCCAGGCTTTTTACTTTATTGTTTACCTTAAATCCAATGTTGTACCTTTGAGGGAACATTTACATTGCTTGTACCTTGATGAACAAAAAAGTACCTGCAGAAAACCTTTATTGCTAACAGTGTAGAACCCATATTGTAAGATTTCCCAATAATACAGCCAGAAATGTAATAATATTTTGCACTTAACTTGGTCAAAAATCTAATAAAACTCAGTAATGTAACAACTCGCTCACTAATGTAATATAAAGTCTTAACTGATAGTCTAATAACATTTTTACTGATACCGTAACAACTTATTACATTATT